ATTCTCCAGGGAGCATTGAACATAAATGTTAAATCTTTAGAAAAACTGTAAATGGAATTCTAGTAGTATGTATTTCTTACACAGGGCAAGGAAATCCTGGTTGCTTTTCCCTTCCCTTCCCCCACAATATATCCTGGCTCCCTCCCTCCCTCCATTCACATTCCTACACCCATTAGGAAAACACTGGCAGGAGACACACTAGTTCGAAAGACCAATGGCTTCTTAAAACATTTATAAAAATTCCACAAGAGGAGGTTTTCTGTTTGACTACAACTGCTCAACCTATGGCATTTAAAAAACAAAGACCCACCCACCAGATTTGCCAGAGGACAGCCAGCGCCTGTTTTATAGGGTGGTATTTAAAGGAATGAACGAGCCAAACCAACAGCTACATTTCTCACAAGAATGTGAATCAAAAACCAATGCCTTCTATCCGCTTTCCTCATCACATATGCTGGGCACATACACAACTCCACATTAATATTGCGAAGCGAAGCAGCGGCAGCAAAGTATATATGTACGTGTGTGTGTGTGTGTGTGTGTGTGTGTGTGTGTGTGTGTGTGTGTTGCCTGTGCGTGTGAAAGACAAACCCTTCTTTCCTAAGAACTCCCATCTGCAAATCACCAACAGTTGGCGGCGGCTGCTGTGTAATCACGGTATCCCCCGCCCCCCGTTCAATGATCCGAATCAACCTGGTTCAACACCAGACATCCCCCCTCACCCCCCCAAAAAACCCGCACACATACAGTGGGCGCAAAAAAACCCCACACCACCCCAGAGAACGGACGAGCAATTGGCGCTTCCCTTCCTTAAAGATGAGGCTGGGTGGGAAGCAGAGAGAGAGAGAGGTGGGGGGAGAAGAGATTTTCTGCTGCTGCTAACCCACTGTAAGCCCCTTCTCTGTTCGGGGCCTAGAAAAGGGGAAATGAGAGCGGATGTGTCATGTTTAAACTCCCTCGTCGCCTCCCCCCCTTTCACGAGCAGGGAGGGGGGAGTGTCCTGTTACTACCTCCACTCCTCTCACTCGCCCCAACAAACACACCCCATATATGTGGCCCCATATATGCGTGTGTGTGTGTGGAGAAGAAAAGAGAAGCCCCACACTTCGTCCCCCTCCCTGCTCTCGCCCTTAAAAGGGCTCTCTATAGGGGAGAAAGCCATTGCACTCCTCGGAAAGGGCAGGGAGTCCTCCTCGCTGCTTTTCGCTCCCCAAATTTTCAGCTACGGGGCGGCGTCGGGGGGGGGGGGAGTTCGCTTCGCGGGAGGGGCTGGGCTGGGCCGGGACCCCCCGAGGGAGGGACGGAGGGAGACGGGAATGGCAGCCTCTTACCGACAACTCGGGGCTCCGCGAGTCCCGGTGCGAGACGGTGCGGATGACGCCGGCTCTCCAACGCCCGTTCTCGGGCGGCTCGTCTCCTCCGACGCACAAGAACCGCTTCCCCACCAGCTCCGGCCGCGACTCCACCGCCACCGCCATGGCGGCCGCCGCCGAAGAGCAGAGCGAGCAGCCAACCGCACCAGCCGCCTCGCTCGCTCGCGTCTCCCCCCTTCTCTCTCCCTCGCTCTCGCTAAGGGTCGCCCATGCCTAGAGGAGCCGAGGCGGGGGGAGGGCGTCCGCGCGTCGGGGCTTCGTGTGTGAGAGAGACGGGGGGCCGGGGGGGGGTCTCTGCCTCCTCTCGCCCGCCGCTCCGAGCCGGGCGCCCCGGGCAGCCGCTCAGCCGCCGCCGCCGCGACCAGCCTGACACAAACACACGGAAGGGAGGGCAGAGCGGAGGGGGCGGGGGAGCCGTTCGCTCAGAGCCGCGCTGCGGCCCCGACCACTCCGCCCACACGAGCCCACTGCCATGGAGACCGGCACAACGCGCCGTCTCCCTCCGCCAGACACAAACGCGTTGGCTCGGGCGGGAGAGGGAGGAGCGGGGAGGGCGCGGGGGAGACACCGCGGCAAGGGAAAGAGTCCGCCCGCGGTCGCGCGCGACGTCCGTGCCCTAGGGGGGAGGCGGCACGGCAGGGAGGCAGCCAGCCAGGAACAGAGCGGGCAACTGTCTGGCGTTCCGTGGCTGGAAAACTTCGGCTCCCGCCGCCTCAGCAACAGCGGCGGCCAAAGGACCCGGGCCGCGCCAGAGGGAGGAGAACAGCGAGGGGATATAGATCGCCTCAGAGAGCAAAGCGGGGCAGCTGGCTGGCGCGGGAGGGGGGGTGGGGGCGCGCACAGACCACGAGGCCCCTCCCGCACCCGCCGTTTCTGACAATACGAGCGAGGCGGCGCTCCCGTTTTCTCTCGCGCCCCCCACCAACCCACCCCCGCGCGCCTTGAGCCCCTCTGGCGCCACTGGAAGCCAGCAGCTGGAATTCCACGCAGTGGAGAGGGGGAGGGCGGGGGGAAAGATCAAAAGCGAACGGGACGACTTGGGGGTTTTCAGGAGCGGGCGGGAGAGCGAGCAGAGCTGGGGAGATTGCAGCCAGCATGCTGTGAATCTGCAACTCCCAGCGAGGTGTTTTGTTTCTCTTTTTTCGGCTGCTTCCCTCTCCTTAACCGAATTAGGCTTCCCAAAAAGACAGCAGAACCCCACCCCACACCCTCTGTTCTCCCACCCCATGCCTCTCTCTGTCCTTCCCTCGCCTGGTTTCTATTCCAGACCATGCCTGTTCCTATATTACCCATACAGGGATTGGTCTGGATTTTGTTTTGTTTTTCTTCACTGCTTTTCCCTCTCATCTCTGCAGGATGACTCACAGCAGCTGAGGTCACCCAATCTCTCTCTCTTTCTCTCTCTCTGAATGAAACACCCACCCAGGGAAATTTCTACCTATCCAGCGTAGTGTTTTTGCTCTGAACATAGTCTTGCCATGGTTACTGCGCTGTAGTGATGCTGCTTCTGCTGCAATAGGAAGGACTGCATCAGTCCAGGGAAAAGGCGATGAAGAATTGAGCTTGCTAACATTGTTTTGGAAGGAATTATAATGCATGAATATTTCAGCCTGCCCTGGCAGGTTGTATTTTCTGTTCCAGGTACACTGACGATTCATAGCTCCTTCTGCTAGAGCTTGGCATGCATAGATAGGGGACACAGCCATTACTAGCACAGTGTGTCAGCAAACTGCTTCACAATTAGCACAGGGCGAAGATTGTACTATTACACCATATGCTTCTAAGTTCCAGTTCAGTCAGAAAGGGAAACCAGATTAACATGCGGCTCTGGCTAAGCAGTCTTTGTGGGCTAGTGGATAGAGTGCTTGACTCGGCCTTTCTACACAAGCAAACAATGAGTGCCGCATTTTATCCTTTGTGTGTAAGCACAATACTCTAGCCAGCCCAACTCAATGCCAATAGAGTACAATATTATTCTGTAATGCGGAAGTAGCTTGATAGGTTTTCATGCTGCTGCTCAACGTTTTTTATTTTATAAAAGGTTAATGAAAGAGGGAGGTTAGGTTTGTCAGGTGGCATCCTGGAGATTTACTCTCTCCCTTTAAAGCTAGTGATTAAAGCAGAAATTGCAGCAGCTACAAGTCCCATCAATTTGTTTCTAGGTGCCTTTGTCTACCCCCTGTCACCTGCTGTAGTGAACAGGACTCCAGGTGTGGTGCATAGCAGGGAGAAGAATGGGGCAGACAAAGGGATTGAGGACGGAACAGGAAGAAGCCACAACTGAGAGAAACAGCAAATCTGAGTGTGATCTGGCAAGCTTATGAGCACTCTCTACCTTTGCATACCAACACCCAATTCCTGTTGACTTTTTTTAAAATCACAAAGCTTCAGATGGTGAAATGTATACTAGTCGCTAATACAGTAAAGCCACAATTTAATGGGTGGGGGATTACGTTCCAGGGATTGCACATAAAGCCAAAATTGTGTGTACAGTAGTCGAAACACATTAGGTGCAAAGGTGGTGAGGTGAATTGCCAGGGGTTTTTCTGGATGTTGCCCCCTTTTTATTTATTTTACTTAAAAAAATTTTTTTTGGCAAGCACGTAAAGTTGAATACACACAAGTTAACTGTGGGCTTACTGTACTGCAGACAATTTCCAAGAGGCATGCAATTGAATCCTATGTCACAACCATGAGAGCAATTGGTACAGCATTGGATTTTGCCTGATACGAAGTATTGCAAATTGAGTGTTAGAGAAAATGTGACAGCTCCACAACAGAGATGCAGTTTTGAGAGAAGATGTGAACTAAGTATTGAAAATTACCGTATTTTTCGCCCTATAGGACACACTTTTTCCCCTCCAAAAATGAAGGGGAAATGTGTGTGCGTCCTATGGGGCGAATGCAGGCTTTCGCTGAAGCCTGGAGAGCGAGAGGGGTCGGTGCGCACCGACCCCTCTCGCTCTCCAGGCTTCGCGCAGCTCTCCGCAAGCCGTGGGAGCCCAGCACCGGGCTCCCACGGCTTGCGGAGAGTTGCCTGCATGCCGAAGCCTGGGCGCGCTGAGCTCAACGCGCCCAGGCTTCAAGCTTCGCACAGCTCTCCGCAAGCGGTGGGAGCCCGGCGCTGGGCTCCCATGGCTTGCGGAGAGCTGCCTGTTCTGGGGGCTGGGGTCCGGGGAAGTTTGGGCTTCCCCCGCCCCAGCCCTGCACCTGGGGAAAAAAAAATAAATTCCCCCCTTTATTTCCCCCCCAAAAAACTAGGTGTGCCTTATGGGCCGGTGCGTCCTATGGGGCGAAAAATACGGTAGTAATTTATTGTGGGGAGAAATTGTGGAGAAGGTATTTAATATTTTGCGTAAAGGGACCACTGACCATTAGGTCCAGTCGTGACCGACTCTGGGGTTGCGGTGCTCATCTCGCTTTATTGGCCAAGGGAGCCTGCGTACAACTTCCGGGTCATACATAGATTCAAATTCCATTTCAGCCATGGACCTAGTTGGGTGGCATTTGCCAAATCACTAAGCCACAGTTGCCCATAATATAAATGGGGACAATAACAATCTCCCTTATGTGTTTATTGTAAGGATGAGGGAGATTTCATAATTTAGACATTTAATTGTTTTTCTAGCCTGAATAGTTCCAGCTGGTTAGAGCATGGTGCTGATAATTGCCAAGGTTGCAGGTTCTATCCCTGTGTGGGACAGCTGCATATTCCTGCATTGCAGGGGGTTGGGACTAAATCGTCCTCAGGGTCCCTTCCAACTCTACAATTCTATGATTCTAATCAAATTCTAGATTCAGTCCAAGTAGAAGCAAGCATTTAATTCTAAATTAACATTAAAACAACACTGGCATACTATAAAAATTCTATATAGATAAAGCATAATTATTATTTCTTAAGTTCGTGAAAAAGCAAAGTGCTAACCATTATAAAACAATGACAACATCTAGGGCCCATCTTAATTAAGCCTTACAAGCATTATATGCTTATCTTTTAGGCTGGTCAATTAAGGTCTTTTTTTTTTTTCATCATCTGAATCCCTCAGTAAGGAGAACGTAAGTAAATGTACAGTATTCTTTAAACTATCTCTGGGCAAAGGGAGTGTATCCCAGCTGCCATTAACTGGCACGGTGGTAGCTGGAAGTTTCATATTCTAACAGTGTGAGAAGCCTGTCCCTCTGACTTGCTGCAAGAACTTTCACACAACAGCTACTCCACATGAGTAGAAAGGAGCAACATCAGATCGTAAGAATGCCTTCAAGTGGTCCACTTCCCTAGACACCATTGCACAACATGAGTAGGCCCATGGGAGAGCACCTTGTTCCCTTATGGCTCACTTCCCACCTCATCAATTTGTTGTCAATCAGCAGCAGCACTGCCAAGCTTATAAAACTCACTGAAAGAAACGGGAAGAAATTACAGTACTGAAGCATCCAGGCAGCAGATAGCCTAAGGGTTTTTTAAAAACTGGATGTTCCAAATACAGATGGTTGAGATCCTATATCCTCATAGTATTTGTTACACTTTGTGAAGCAACTGACTTTTTTATTGGCCCATAAGGAGATCAAGGCTTTCAAATGCTTCTTGCCTTCTATGTGCCAAATGGTTTTATAACTCTTGACCTGTAATTGATTAATTGATCAAACCACAGTGTGGTCATTTCTGTCACATCACTCAATAGTTTTCAATGGCATAACTTGGTCAGGTTAAAAAACAAACAAACAAACAAACAAACAAACAAACAAACAAACAAACAAACAGGTTAAGGCAGATTAATCACTGAATCACAGGAGCTGGAAGGGATCGAAGATACCTTGTTATCCCAAAGCAGCCCCTTTCCTTCATTAAACTATATGCATGCTGTACATTAGTCATCCTGAGCTGTGGCACACAAGATTGCTCCTTGTCCTTGAAATATTCTCAGTCACCAAAGCAGATTAGAATTCCCACATCATCAATAAAGTCATGTAAAAGGGCAAGGAAACTGTTTATACTTTTAATGTGCTGGTGGTGAGCTAAAACAGAGTGTCTTGAGTGAACCCCACAAAAGGGAGCTCCATCTCATTCTGATAATGAGAAGACACACCAGGATAGCTCATGGGACTGATGTTACATTGACTATATGCCCCAGTCCAGCTACAGTCAGTCATGATTCAGGCTACAACTCTATACAAATTTAGGAGTACACATACATAGGATTGCGCTACACGTTTTACTGAAACCAAAACAAGTTATTTGTGGCTACCAGAGTCCCATATCTTTCAATGGTCTTAGCAATTGCTAACTTTAACGCCGACACCAAACCCTACATACATTAAGCAAAATAGAAACATTGCCATCTGACCCCCCCCATCTCCCCCACCCCCAATGTCTCAACAAATGAAACTGATTTGTAAAAATGTTACATGGAAAAATACGAGAGACATTACACATACTTCTGTAAAACAAGAAAATCTCTAATAAAAAACAACTAGCAACTGCTAACTTTAGGTGAATTAGGGCCATAATCTTTTACATCTATTTGCCACATTTCTCCCTCCCCCTTTGCTTTCTGCTTGCATATGTTTCTTTTCCCTATCTCAAACCAATCAATGGTAACCACTGAGGAGCAAAACACAAAGGAGACACAGGGTGTACTGCTACAGAGGTGGGGAGCAAGATGAGGTGGAACAAAACAAGTCTATTAAGAAAATGCATTTGGTTTAGATTTAGATCAATGTCAAATTTGACCTAATTTCTGGAAGGCTCAAAATACCTATCAGATTAAACACCTCAGTAATAAACTTTTATCGCCAAAGATGCAATCACTCACTGCTCTTCACATTTTTACCAGTGAGTTAATATTCATGAGGACAGGGTTTTACCGCATTACTATTTACATGAATGGAGTATGCCTAGAGTTGAATAGCGCACCGACTCCTCTCGCTTTCCAGGCTTCGCGCAGCTCTGCGCAAGCCGTGGGAGCCCGGTGCTGGGCTCCCACGGCTTGCGGAGAGTTGCCTGCATGCCGAAGCCTGGGCGCGCTGAGCTCAACGCGCCCAGGCTTCAAGCCGCACAGCTCTCCGCAAGCGGTGGGAGCCCGGCGCTGGGCTCCCATGGCTTGCGGAGAGCTGCCTGTTCTGGGGGCTGGGGTCCGGGGAAGTTTGGGCTTCCCCCGCCCCAGCCCTGCACCTGGGGGGAAAAAAATAAATTCCCCCCTTTATTTCCCCCCCAAAAAACTAGGTGTGCCTTATGGGCCGGTGCGTCCTATGGGGCGAAAAATACGGTAGTAATTTATTGTGGGGAGAAATTGTGGAGAAGGTATTTAATATTTTGCGTAAAGGGACCACTGACCATTAGGTCCAGTCGTGACCGACTCTGGGGTTGCGGTGCTCATCTCGCTTTATTGGCCAAGGGAGCCTGCGTACAACTTCCAGGTCATACATAGATTCAAATTCCATTTCAGCCATGGACCTAGTTGGGTGGCATTTGCCAAATCACTAAGCCACAGTTGCCCATAATATAAATGGGGACAATAACAATCTCCCTTATGTGTTTATTGTAAGGATGAGGGAGATTTCATAATTTAGACATTTAATTGTTTTTCTAGCCTGAATAGTTCCAGCTGGTTAGAGCATGGTGCTGATAATTGCCAAGGTTGCAGGTTCTATCCCTGTGTGGGACAGCTGCATATTCCTGCAATGCAGGGGTTGGGACTAAATCGTCCTCAGGGTCCCTTCCAACTCTACAATTCTATGATTCTAATCAAATTCTAGATTCAGTCCAAGTAGAAGCAAGCATTTAATTCTAAATTAACATTAAAACAACACTGGCATACTATAAAAATTCTATATAGATAAAGCATAATTATTATTTCTTAAGTTCGTGAAAAAGCAAAGTGCTAACCATTATAAAACAATGACAACATCTAGGGCCCATCTTAATTAAGCCTTACAAGCATTATATGCTTATCTTTTAGGGTGGTCAATTGAGGTCTTTTTTTTTTTTCATCATCTGAATCCCTCAGTAAGGAGAACGTAAGTAAATGTACAGTATTCTTTAAACTATCTCTGGGCAAAGGGAGTGTATCCCAGCTGCCATTAACTGGCACGGTGGTAGCTGGAAGTTTCATATTCTAACAGTGTGAGAAGCCTGTCCCTCTGACTTGCTGCAAGAACTTTCACACAACAGCTACTCCACATGAGTAGAAAGGAGCAACATCAGATCGTAAGAATGCCTTCAAGTGGTCCACTTCCCTAGACACCATTGCACAACATGAGTAGGCCCATGGGAGAGCACCTTGTTCCCTTATGGCTCACTTCCCACCTCATCAATTTGTTGTCAATCAGCAGCAGCACTGCCAAGCTTATAAAACTCACTGAAAGAAACGGGAAGAAATTACAGTACTGAAGCATCCAGGCAGCAGATAGCCTAAGGGTTTTTTAAAAACTGGATGTTCCAAATACAGATGGTTGAGATCCTATATCCTCATAGTATTTGTTACACTTTGTGAAGCAACTGACTTTTTTATTGGCCCATAAGGAGATCAAGGCTTTCAAATGCTTCTTGCCTTCTATGTGCCAAATGGTTTTATAACTCTTGACCTGTAATTGATTAATTGATCAAACCACAGTGTGGTCATTTCTGTCACATCACTCAATAGTTTTCAATGGCATAACTTGGTCAGGTTAAAAAACAAACAAACAAACAAACAAACAAACAGGTTAAGGCAGATTAATCACTGAATCACAGGAGCTGGAAGGGATCGAAGATACCTTGTTATCCCAAAGCAGCCCCTTTCCTTCATTAAACTATATGCATGCTGTACATTAGTCATCCTGAGCTGTGGCACACAAGATTGCTCCTTGTCCTTGAAATATTCTCAGTCACCAAAGCAGATTAGAATTCCCACATCATCAATAAAGTCATGTAAAAGGGCAAGGAAACTGTTTATACTTTTAATGTGCTGGTGGTGAGCTAAAACAGAGTGTCTTGAGTGAACCCCACAAAAGGGAGCTCCATCTCATTCTGATAATGAGAAGACACACCAGGATAGCTCATGGGACTGATGTTACATTGACTATATGCCCCAGTCCAGCTACAGTCAGTCATGATTCAGGCTACAACTCTATACAAATTTAGGAGTACACATACATAGGATTGCGCTACACGTTTTACTGAAACCAAAACAAGTTATTTGTGGCTACCAGAGTCCCATATCTTTCAATGGTCTTAGCAATTGCTAACTTTAACGCCGACACCAAACCCTACATACATTAAGCAAAATAGAAACATTGCCATCTGACCCCCCCCCCATCTCCCCCACCCCCAATGTCTCAACAAATGAAACTGATTTGTAAAAATGTTACATGGAAAAAATACGAGAGACATTACACATACTTCTGTAAAACAAGAAAATCTCTAATAAAAAACAACTAGCAACTGCTAACTTTAGGTGAATTAGGGCCATAATCTTTTACATCTATTTGCCACATTTCTCCCTCCCCCTTTGCTTTCTGCTTGCATATGTTTCTTTTCCCTATCTCAAACCAATCAATGGTAACCACTGAGGAGCAAAACACAAAGGAGACACAGGGTGTACTGCTACAGAGGTGGGGAGCAAGATGAGGTGGAACAAAACAAGTCTATTAAGAAAATGCATTTGGTTTAGATTTAGATCAATGTCAAATTTGACCTAATTTCTGGAAGGCTCAAAATACCTA